GAGGTGTCCCACAGGCCAGATGCATCATGTGCAGGCCACGCCCTCCCCAGCTGTGCAAAGGGGAAAAAAATGTTGTGATACGTCACGTGATGGCAACGTGACGTGGCAAGTTTGACACCCGTGCTCTAGACAGACAGACAGACAGACAGACAGACAGACAGACAGACAGACAGACAAACAGACAATGATAGATAGATGATAGATAGACAGACAGACAGACAGACAGAGAGACAAAGACAGATGTGTGTGTGTGTGTGTGTGTGTGTCTGTGTGTATACATATACATATACGTACCCTGTTTCCCTGAAAATAAAACATCCCCTGATAATAAGCCCAATTAGGCTTTTAAGCACATGCACTAAAATAAGACACACACCCTGAAAATAAGCCCTCCCTGAAAATGCGCCCACCTCGAAAATATTTAATCGCATGCGCAGCCGGTCTCCACCATCTCCTCTGGTTAGGGTTAGAGAGACAGAGCTGGAAATCAGATAAGACGGCAAGAGGAGCCCTGTCTTGCTCCATGCGCCCCAAAAGAATAAGACCTCCCTGAAAATAAGACCAAGCGCTTATTTCGGGGTTCAAAAATTATATGACAGGGTCTTATTTTTGGGGAAACGTGATAGGTATGTATGTGTCCTCATATATAGTCTCAAGTGCTTCTGTTTGGAGCATGTCTTGCCTGGCTTTTGTCAATCAAAGCTCTCGTTCTAATTGCAGGTAATCTTTACCAGCACTACCACCTTTCCCAAAGAAATGTGAGATTTTCCTTCCTTCCTTCCTTGCAGGAGACTCTTCTGCTCAAAGAGTAGTCTTTTTTTACTTGCTAGTTCAGTTGGCACAACTTTCTAATGGAACGGTTTAAAGAATCACGTAGATGTCAGATCTGAAAAGCTAAGTTTAGGTTTTGCTCTCCTCTCCTGTTCAGCCCTCCTGTGCAAATGCAGTTTAAATGAGATGGGGAAGTTCCAACCTAATTTAGCCTGCCAGGCTGGTTGATCTAGTCCAGGGCTTTCTAATCTAAATTGTCACGAGTGCTGATGAGGATGAGCCGAGGTGGCGCAGTGGTTAGAGTGCAGTACTGCAGCTGACTGCTAGTTCAGCAGATCAGCGGATCAAATCTCACCGTCTCAGGGTTGACTCAGCCCTCCATCCTTCCGAGGTAGGTAAAATGAGGACCCAGATTGTTGGGGGCAATAGGCTGTTTAGTATACTGTCTTTGGTGTAAGCCGCCCAGAGTCCTTGGAGAGTGGGCGGCATAGAAATATGAATAATAAAATAAATAAAATGAGGATGACCGATGAAGATGACATGAGGATAACTGATGAGGATGAGCTTATCAGTCTGGGGGCCCCCCCACAGATGAATTCTGACATTTGAAAAATTGGACAACAGTGTAGAGAATGTACAGTACGTACCGAAATGTACATGCTATTAAATATAAATGTATTAATAAGCAAAAGCTTTGCTACAGAACAAAGCTTCTTGCAAAACAAAGTAATTTGGTTTTGGCCATTAAGCCAGCAGAATTTTTCATTAAGCAGAACACTGATATTTGGTTTTATTATCGGGTTAATAGATATTTTTCTCAAGATGAATCTAGCAAGGCCACTCCACTCAAAGTGTCCTAATTGTGTCTTTTCTTTTTCGTCTCTCTCCTTCTGGAACATATTTTTTTTCCCTCATACAAACTATTTTTTCCCAACCTTCCTGCTGCTGCTTAGCAGAGGGATCTTACTTGTTTGCTCTTTTTCTCCTTCCTTGCCCCGCTCTTTCCTGGTCTTGGGTAGTCTTCATCTCTTTGGCTCTCTTCCCCAGACAAGACAAGCCTTCCCATCCGCCCCACCTATTGTTTCTTCCCAGAAAGCCTTAGTTTCAGGAGAACGTAGGAGAAGGAATGGCAGAACTTGGGGTGTAGTACAGTGGTGGGATTCAATTTTTTTTACTACAGGTTCTGTGGGCATGGCTTAGTAGGCATGGCGGGGAAGGATACTGTAAAATCTCCATTCCCTCCACACTCCAGGGGAAGGTTACTGCAAAATCCCCATTTCCTCTAGATCAGCTGGGACTTGGGAGGCAGACAATAGATGGGGGTGGGGCCAGTCAGAGGTGGTATTTACTGGTCAAACTACTCAAACTTTCTTCAGAATTGGTTAGAACCTGCTGAATACCACCTCTGGTGGAATGAAAAGAGGGATTAGCCTAGAATCCCTACGTAGCTACAGGAGTCCAATCTCCCTTAGATGCTGTTGGCCCTTATCTAACTCTAACCAGGTGCTGACAATTACTTGAGAAGGTTCTTGTGCATGGTCATGATTAGCAATAAATTAGTTTCATTGGATCTTCACACGTGGACCTGATCTTTTGCACCTGACTCAGAAGGACTTCTCACACTGTAAGAGACTAGGCAATACAGCTAGGTATAACACTGCAACAGGCATTGTTGTGCCAAGTATATAGGCTCTGCTGTTGATGAGACACCTGCTGGAAAGATGTGAGAGCCTACTATGCTGTTGTACAGTGTTGCGCCAAGACCTCAATACCTACCAAGTATTCTTGAGGGCCACAAAAGATGATTTGAAGAGTTAGCTGACATTATGAGTTTGAGATCATTGATGTGAACTTGGACCCTAGAAGGATATTAGCTATTTCAAAAGTGTCTCTGTGGCATACAGAACATTTGTATGTGCATGTGACATTTTAAGGCCTATACAATAGGGTTTCAGGTGGGTAGATTGTACCGTGATGTTGCAATGCTGCTTTGGTAATTCAGAACCTGTTCACCCTTCCCACAGATGTTGCTGCTGCTTGTGAAATCTTGGATGAAGCACCAGTCCTCACTAAAGGTCTTTTCTCTTTCCTCACAAGTCTGTGTAGGAATGGCTGCTTCCATCCCTCAATACATCCTGCATAACTACCCTTTATATTAACTCAACCACAAACAAACACACACACACACACACATACCAAACACAGTCACTGATAATGTTGATGATGCTTTTCTAAAAACTTTAAACCTTACTTCAGACAAAGCTGAACACATGCTGATTCAGTTCAAGTTCCTTTCTACTTTTAAAAAATTCGCAGAGTGCTTGAGAGGGCAAGCGGAGTGTAATTTAACTTCTAAAACATTGCTCCATTAATGTCCTAGATGGAAGACCAATGAAATCAGTAATACTGACGTAGTAGCATTATAATTAATTAAACTTGATTTTCCTCAAACTTCTCTTGGGACTAGGCTTCAAATAGTGTCTTCTTTCTCTGTGTATAAAAATTGGGTTGATTTTTATTCTTGTTCTTGTTGTTTTCTGTTCAGTTAATTCATTGGAATGTATGGAGAGGTTTTTTTTAAAAAAAACAGCATTTCTTCTGCCCTTGCTATTATATTTCCATCTATGGATATAAGAAAACTCAAGGAAGGGGTTTTTTTTAATGTGTCTTCAGGGAAGATAGGATTGAGTGATTATTAAATAGCATAAAGAGATTTCCTCCTGAGTGATTTCAAATAATTATTTTGAAAGCTTTTTAGCATATGAAATGATTTTGAGGCCTTAGGTATTTGCAGTATTAAACACTAGTCTTTCATAAGGAAAATAAACTGAGCTACAGTAGATAACTTATTTTGCCAAGTCAACAATTATTTTTATGTAGCTGCAAAGCTGAGGTTGGACTTGTTCCTAATCATGCATATAGTATGCGGTTCTTCCCATACTAAGTAGAAAATCTACTGTCAAAAATCATTCTGTCTCTTGTTGGAAAAAAGCAAATATGCTGAGTTTAGCAGAACTGTCCCAAAGGTGATTTTTCAAAAGGCAATTGGACTTTCTTTGTTTTTGCTTAAAGACATTTCGCTTTTCATCCAAGAAGCTTCTTCAATTCTGAATGAAGAGCGGAGAATGGAAGGATTTATATTCCTTGCAGTCATCTGGATGACTGAGAATCTCCATAGAGCTAAGCAGAATTTACTTCTGAGTCAATACATATTGTATAGGATCATCTTCCAGGATATGGTACCCATGCCTTAAAAATATTCAACCAAATCTATAATTTCTATTTATTTATTTGATTTAATATAGCTACTCACCTCTACTTTTGACCTCTGGGTGGCCAACAATAATTAATAGCATAATGATCAAATCCAAAAACTCAAATGATTACCATAGCAATGTTAATACTATGCAGACAAGGTCCTCAAAACATTAAATTGTGCAACAATACAGCTGGACTCACTTAACATGTGGGATGGCTCTTCAGAGACAGAGAAGGGTGGTAGCCAAGGGAATGATCAGGCAACTTAGCTCACTGCAGGAAAGTTGGAGAGGCAAGCATCTCGGAAGGGACCCTCCCTAATTTCTTCAGCTGTAAAGACAATGGGGGAGGGGTAAAATGTGCTTAGAAGACTTAGAAGATTTTTTTAAAATGTAACCTTACAATAAATTAAAAATGGTGTATCAGGCTGTGCTTCCTGTGTAGTCTACATTGCAAGATTGACACACATATGTGACATTTTAAATACACTTGCCAATTGAATGGGAAAGAACGATTTTTCAACACTGCCTCTAGGAAAACATTTGGCACTAAACTTGAAGTAACAGGCTAGCTTCAGAAGCACTGAGCCAATCAAGTTGTGCACAACCCAGAATTATGGTACAGACGATGGCCATCCATATACGTTTTTAAAAAATAAATATCTAAATAAAATATTGCTCCAGTGTCTTTCTCTCAACATCTTTATCAGAATGATTACTTCATTCTACCTAACAGTAAAACCAGCTATAGAGGGTCAACAGTAGCCTCTTAGTTGTGCCAATTCCTGAAGCTACTCCAGTTTGGAGTATGTTCATATACAATTTTCATATTGCTTGATGTCCCTATAAATACATGGTAGCTTTCAATGAAGACTTATGACAGTCGTCCAGTAAAAAATTGCAGAGTTACTGATGTTTAAACAAAACGTAGCAAACTTTAAACCCTGTTTCTTACTCTGTTCTTCCTACAAGTCCTCAGAATCCAGTGGAAACAGGGGTCTGATGACTCGAGAATCATTTGTCAATACAATGTCTGCAATGATTAAGCAAGGCACTAAGGAGGAATATGGTGAGCTTTTTGATAAGATCGATTTGATCCGGGATGGCCTTATTGATTGGGATAAATTGACTTCCTTTGTCCTTCTTGAGCTATATGAAAGAGATGAACGAACCAAGATGTCAGTCATTCCCCAATGGAAAGATCTCCGTTTTCTCCCAACGATACATAAAGATGTTATTCAGAATGTGATATGCTTTAAACACCCCAGCAAATACTTGACTGTGAGCAGAAATGGATTGCTTGGCGTCTGGGGAGAAAGCTTAAAGTTACAAAAGATGGTGCAAATCACTACGGAAGCTGTGAAACCCAAAGACCTCTGGGTGACTTCTCTGGTTGCATTACCAAATGTTAACAAGGTAGGTTGATGAACTGTTGAAAATGGAGCACATTTTTTAAAAAAAGTTTTTTATTTTTATTTTTCACAAACACATTTACATGTACAGTCATTTCCATCATTTTCCATTCATCTTTTCTTTTAACTTTCATTTCTAATTTGTACTTTTTGGGGGCTGCTCTTTTACCCTTTACCTTTACTCCAACCTTTCATCTTCTCCTCCCCTTTTCTTCCCCGGTTTCTCCTCCTACTTCCTTCGTTCTTCCTGTCCTTCTCTTTCCTACTTCCCCCACTCCTCTCTTCTTCCCCCCTTCTAACCTTCTCCTCTACTCCTCTTTCCCCTCCCTCTTCTTCCTCTCCTTTTCCCTTTCTTCTTTCTCCTCTTCTCTCCTCTCCTCTCCTCTCTTTTCCCTTTCTCTCTCTCTACTCCTTCCCCTCTCTCCTGTTGTTTCCCTTTTCAGTTCCATCTAAAGTGGTATTCGAGCAGCCCCACAAAAATGGAGCACATTTTTTTGAGGGGATGGTGAATAATAATAATAATAATAATAATAATAATAATAATAATAATAACAACAACAACAACAACAATAACAACAACAACAACAACAACAACAACAACAACAACAACATCAGTCAGTCCTAAACGCTTGGGAAGTGTTCGACTAGTGATTTGTGATACGAAATCCAGCATGGTTATCTCGTTTGCTGTGTATACTGTCATTTTTGTGTATATAATAATAATAAAAATTGACTGATCCAAGAATGGTGGTTCTCAAGGAATATTCTTTTTTCTCCTTTTTTCTGTCCCCACTCCTCCTCTCACCCTTTAGGTAGCTGTTGCATTTACAAACAAAGAGATCCATTTTGCAGAATTAAATTTCAAAAAAGGGTTCTCGTGTCAATACAGGCTTCAAGGCTTTGAGGGAACAGTGACATGCATGCACTACTGGTATAACCCTCATGATGGAAATGAAGCTATTCTGAGCCTGGGAGATGTCTGTGGACAGGCAAGTATGGCACAACATCTAGAGTGTAATCTTGTAATGCTACACATTCAGCACTAACAGTTTCATTGTACAAACCAGAAAAAGTTCCCTTCAGGGTTTGACATAAGAGAAGGCTGGAAACAAGATTGTTTGGAATAGGGGTGTCAAATTCAAGGACTGTGGGCCAGATCTGGCCCACGGGGCCACTGTGGAAATAGAAAAGGTCCAGCCCATGGTGCCTCTGCCAATGAAAACAGAGCTCAGAGTGGCTCTGTTTTCACTGGCAGAAGGCTGCAAGAGGCTGTCCCAGCTGAAAATGGAGCTTGGGAGTCTGTTTTTGCTGGCAGAGCACTTGGGCCACAGGTGCGCCTGACGCAAGTGATGTCAAGCTGGCCATGCCCACGCTGGCCACACACCCCTGCCCCCCTGAAGATCAAACACAACCCTGATGTGGCCCTCAATGAAATCAAGTTTTACACCCCTGGTTTGGAAGGTGTGAAGCTAACCAAATTTGGTGGATCTGACTGAAGATTTGAGGTGACCTCATGATATGGGCTCAGTGAGTTCCATAGTTGTACATGGATTTGAACTTGGATATGGTCAGCCATAGTTCAACACTTTTAATCATATACCATAATGGCTTCCTAGATCTCTTTTGATTTTTCTAGATCTATACTCCATCTCGTCCTACCTGGAGAAACTAGAAACTGAACTGAAGTATGGTTGCATGCAACCCATTTGACCTTCCAGTGAGCTATACTTTCTTTCCTTAGAGATTTTTAAGCAGAGGTTGGATGGCACCTCTTGTGGGCTCTTTGCATATTTTGAAATAGTTCCTTCACAATTTTATTATTTAGGATTTCTTCTCTTCCAAACCAAACGCTCACTGAACTCAGTCATTTCTCATTACTCCTGCTCTTGAGCTGCACAAAATTAATTTGAGTTTCCCAAGTATTTGCTTACATTCTTTGATTAAATTGGGTCAACTTTCCTTCCATATTCAGGCTCTTGTTAAAGTAGACTCCTTGCCCAGATACATAGATCTGAGTTATTCCCATTGTCCTTTCCTAAATATTTTTTCTGAACTCTCAACAATAACAACTACTATAACAATAAATTAGTCATAGCTGTGGCCATGAAATTTAAATGCCTACTAATTATGAATTTATAACAAAAGAGAGGTATTTGTGTGACATTGGTAATGGGTTGTCTTGAAATGTTTAGAAAGGGTTAAAAGATTGAATCAATTCTTCTTGTATAGGTCCAAGCAATTGTCTTCAATGCAGCCCTAATTTCATTGTTTGAACGGCCTCCCAGTTCTTTTGAAGATGAAAATGTGACAGTGACAATTAATTGGCAGGAGTTGGTTTCTGGATATCACAAATGCTGCCACACCTTAAGACACAAAATCCATAATAAAGAATGGATTAAGCAAGGTACATATTTGAAGAGTAATTTAAAAATGTCTTCTTTTAATCTTGTTTATTACCTTTGGCATGTATTGGGATGTTGGAAAGAATATCGAAATGATGAAATCCTACTTTTAAATGGCAAATGTATCTATATCTCCTAAGCCCTATTAAATATAAACCATGTCCTCAAGTCAAGGGCAACTTATCCATCAATGCAGTTTCCTGGGTTACAGTGCAGAAGTGATTTGTCATTGCCTTCACATATATTTTATTTTATTTATTTGTTAAATTTGTTTGCTGCCTGTCTCATCACAGAGCTATTCTAGGTGGCTTACAATAATAAAAAAGGAGAAAAATGAAAGGTGTGTAAACAGAACAGAAGTAAAATTATAAAAGAATAAATAAACAATGATAAAGGAACACAATGAGAATAAATATATCAATGTGCTAACCAAAAAGAAGGATGGGTGGAGAGCAGAGAGCAAGGGAGAGGGGAGGTGGAATCTGCTAACAATTTAGCAGCTGCCTCCAGTATGGAATTTCCGCATTTGGTCCCCAGACAAACCAGAAGAGCCAGGTCTTCAGGCTGTTGCAGAAGAATAGGAGGGTGGGGGAAGGATCTTACCTTAGAGGGTAAGATTTTCAAATCTAGCTTGGGATGTCCTGGTACCTCCCATCTGAGCAGTAACTAGGTCTGACTGTCAATCTGAAAAACAAGCCATGCTTACTTCTACTTTGTTTCTTGGTTGCCATTCAACGAGGAAGGGTAGAGTATGTGGGGGGGGACGACTCAGGAATGTGGTGTCTCAGCTGGCTAACCATAACATCTACCAGCCAGTGTGAGAACCAAGGTCATGTCAATAGACACCTGTCAAAGTTGAGTGGGAACCTACATCTGGACTGATTGGTCCATATGACCTGAGAGACATAAGGAGGTGGGGTCTTTTAACCATCCCTATGTGTGGGAATAGTTTAGAGCTAGATTCATCTTTCTAAGTGCTGGTATCAGAGGTGGATTTCAGCAGGTTCTGACCAGTTCTGGAGAACCTGTAGCAGAAATTTTGAGTATTTATTTATTTATTAGTTCGATTTATATATGCCGCTCTTCTCCGGAGACTCAGGACGGCTTACAATGCATTAAGCAATAGCCTTCATACTTTTGTATATACCTGCTTAGTAGGACTTTTTTTTGCCCCCCCCCCGAGTGGTGTTCTATTTTATATTAAGCCAGCTTATTGCCCCCACAAACCAGGTCCTCATTTTACCTACCTCAAAAGGATGGAATGCTGAGTCAACCTTGAGCCTGGTGAGAATTGAACTCGTAGTAATTGCAGGCAGCTGGCAGCTAAGTACTACTTTAACAGCAGCAGTTTAGTCTACTGCGCCACCAAGGCTCGGAGAACCGGTAAATACCACCCCTGACTGGCCCCCATCTATTATCTGGCCTTCATCTATTATCTGCCTCCCGAGTCCCAGCAGATCGGGAGGAAATGGGCATTTTGCAGTAACCTTCCCCTGGAGTGGGGAGGGAATGGAGATTTTACAATATCCTTCCCCTGCCACACCCACCAAGCCATGCCCACCAAGCCATGCCATGCCATGCCATGCCCACCAAGCCACACTCACAAAACCAGTAGTAAAATTTTTTGAAACCCACCACTGGCTGATATGATGTACTCAGTAAAGGGTTTCTTGAACCTGAACAAAGTGTCAGAGTCCTGACTTCTGGGAGTTCATTACCCGGAACAATGACAGTGGCTTTGCAAAACTCTATGAATCTACATAAAGGAGCTAGGTTTCCTTTTAAAGTAAACCTGAGATGTACTTTCTCAGAAAGGGCTACAGGAACGTCTTAAATGGAAGGCTATAACAAAACTCCCAGAAATGAAGGACAAATAGACATTTCAACCTTACCTATGACTATCATTAAGTGTTGTACCTTATGATTCTTGATGAACGTATCTTTTATTTTATGTACACTGAGAGCAGGGGTGAAATGTAAAATTTGTTACTACAGGTTCTGTGGGCGTGGCTTGGTGGGGGGAATAATGTGACTGGGTGGGCGTGGCCAACTTTTTTTTTTAACTTTTCAAAGCATTTTTTCTGCAAATGCAAAAAAATGCTTTGAAAAGGCTCTGCCAATCAGGCAACACAGCTGGAATCGTCAGAGCCTTTTCAAAGCATTTTTTTAACCATCTCTTCCGCTGAAGAGGTTGCAGAAAAAAAATGCTTTAAAAGTCTCTGTGATGATCCCAGCGGAGTTGCCTGATCGTCAGAGAGACTTATAAAGCATTTTTTTTCCTGCAACCTCTTCAGCGGAAGAGGTGGTTAAAAAAATGCTTTGAAAAGGCATTTTCAAAAGACCCCAGAAGAGGTTGCAGAAAAAAATGCTTTAAAAGTCTCTCTGACGATCCCAGCTGAGCCGCATGATCATCAGAGGCTTTTTTTTAACTTTTAAAAGCATTTTTTTCGGCAGAAGAAGTTGTAGGCATGGGGGGGAGGGGCGGCAGGGATTTTTGCTACTGGTTCTCCGAACCACCCGCCGCCATCGCTACCAGATCCAGCGATCTGGTCCGAACTGGGAGCATTTCACCCCTGACTGAGAGCATATGCACCAAGACAAATTCCTTGTGTGTCCAATCACACTTGGCCAATGAAGAATTCTATTCTATTCTATTCTATTCTATTCTATTCTATTCTCTTTTATTCTATTCTATTTCTATTTCTATTCTATTCTATTCTATTCTATTCTATTCTGCCTGGATAAAGAGGTGTTGGCCTTTCACTTAAGCCTTCTGGCACTTTGATCTTCACAGGGCAGGTCAACATACAGAAGCTGACAGAGATAGAATTGTAGTTTAAGTCCTGCCTTTTTGTATGATGCCTTTTGAGGGTGGAGGAAAGGTGATAGATTTGGGAAGCAGAGGGAAAATTTAACAATTGTTTTCTCGGAGGTGGAGTGCTATGAATGACATGTTTTATAGGCATTTAAAGCTTTTTGCCCTATGTATCTATTTTCACAACCTTCAGAATTTCAAATGAAAGGTGGAAATAATTTAAAGTAAGAGAAAAGGAGGATTCCAACTGATGATTAACAGAATGAAGGATTCATTAAAATACCATCTACCATCAAACTTGACTTCTTCTTTTTTCAGTAGCCTTACATTCTTTTTCTTTCTTTCTTATTCTTTTTAACTTGCTCACTTTTAAACCAAAACTTGAAGATGATAACAACGGTCTCTGAAATGCTTCATATTATGAAGAGGCTCTTTAAATTCCAAAACAATAAAGCATTTTCCATAAATGACATAAATTATTCAGATCTGAATAATTAATAAATGTCTAGTCCACAGAGAGGAATCACTCCCCTTTCTGCCATAAAAGTGTCCCCATTAATACAAAATTTCAAACTTTCATTTCAACGTTAAGTTGTCAAGCTGCAACCTGGAGACATCTGTTGGATCTTTTAAATCCCATAGTACAGTTTAAGAAAAGACAACCACAGCATCTGTTCTGCTCTGTCCTGTTATTCATTTCCCTTACTTGCTTGTTATGGCATACTTAGAGTCCTATTCCAGGAGTTAGAATAAGCAGAGAAGTGGGACTGAGTGAAAAATATATATATACCCACAACAACAACCTGGATTCATATGGCATCAAATACTTCAGTGAAAGATCTCCAGGTTGGAACCTAGCCACCTTATTCTACTCTTAAATATTTCAAAGGAACAAAAGTGGATTCACATTCGCATTTGCATTCTAAGAATTGCAGTCCCATCACAATGGAAAAGTAGTGCAACAATTCAAACATATATCGTCTGTAGCCTTGATTTGTTTGGGGCTCTTTTGCAGTCCTTAGGTGAGGAGTCCAATGATCACTGAAGTTTGTGCATGCCAATGTCCTTGGTTTCATCTATTCCTATTCCTATTCCTATTCCTATTCCTATTCTATTCTATTCCTATTCTATTCCTATTTCTATTCTATTCTATTCTATTCTATTCTATTCTATTCTATTCTATTCTATTCTATTCTATTCTATTCTATTCTATTCTATTCTATTCTATTCTACTGTACCCTACCCTACCCTACCCTACCCTACTCTATTAAATAATCCTCTCTAAGCGGTTTATAGAGTCAGCATATTACCCCCAACAATCTGGCCAATTTACTGGCCTTGGAAGGATGGAAGGTTGAGTCAACCTTGACCCAGTCAGGTTTGTACTGCTGGCAGTGAACACAGTTAGCCTGCAATACTGCATTCTAACCACTGTGCCACTTTGGCTCTTAACATAGTATAAAAGCAATAAGCATGTCAAAATAGTCATATTAAACAACAACCGTAACACCCCAGTCTCATCTTGACCTTTACTGCTGCAACACCTGCCTTCTCTCTTCCTTGTTGTGCCTTTGTATTTCCTTCTCCCAGATAGAATTCCCATGTAACCTTCCACTGAAATGTATGAGACCAAACACCTGAGGGCAGGTAAAGAAGTAGTGGATGGAAACTAATCAAGGAGAGAAGCAACTTAGAACTAAGGAGAAATTTCCTGACAGTTACAACAATTAATCAGTGGAACAACTTGCCTTCAGAAGTTGTGAATGCTCCAATACTGGAAGCTTTTAAGAAGATGTTGGATAACCATTTCTCTGGTGTAGGTTTTCCTGCCTAAGCAGGGGATTGGACTAGAAGACCTCCAAGGTCCCTTCAAACTCTGTTATTCTCTTCTCTTCTCTTCTCTTCTCTTCTCTTCTCTTCTCTTCTCTTCTCTTCTCTTCTGCTCCCCATTGAAAGTGGACATTTTCTCCACAACAGGATGGGCTATCAACAAAATTGGGAGGACAAGTACCTGTGTCCTTTTCCATCTATGATCCAGATCTGTTTCAAGATACTTTTGAGGACCGGGAGAATTTTTAAGAATTTTTTTTAAAAACCCCAACAACTTATTTTTAAGAGCTGCAGTGGCACAGTGATTAGAATGCAGTAGTGCCAGGCATTTCTGTTGACTGCCAGCTGTTTGCAATT